CATTTCCAGATACCACCTGACAGCAGAAGAGAACTTGGCCCATGTGGCTAAAAAGAGCGGAGCAGGAGGTCCCGCCCTGCGGCTGCTGCAGGCTCCCGGGGGATGCTGGAGCAGGAGGAGCCCAACCCGCCCAGCCCTGACGATGCAGAGATGGGCAAGTTAGGAAGGGAGGGCGGGAGGAAGGAGACAGCCCTTTCATCAGAGGACATCTCTCTGTCCCCCTTTCCTCCTTCTTCTTTCTAGCCTACACTCTGCTTAGGGTTTTTAGCGTCTTCACCAAAGACTTGTTTTTGAGTTCCATTTTCTCCCTGTCCCAAGCTATGTTTCTGAGATCAGGTGGCGAGATTGCTCTATCCTGGAATTCCATGGCACAGCCCTGAATCGCTGGGCACGGAGTCAGAACTCGTAGGTTTAATGTCATGGCTCGGTTCGGCCTCTTTATTTCCATACTCACTAGGCATGTGCCTCAGTTTCTACATCCAGAACATGGAGATAAACATCCTGCCTACCTCAAAGGGCTGCTCATAAGGGTTAAACTGAGGCTTACAAAGGGAGGGGGTTAAATTTTAAACTGACGTTTTAAAACGAGAAATTATTATGACAATGATTCTCTGAAAGGAATCCTACAATTTTCTTGTACTTATGGTGCCTATTATAGGGGCACTACCCATACCTGCAGCTCCACCCTTGTGACCTAATCATCCCCCCCTCCCAGATCTTGACTCCTAATGCCATCACCTCGGGGGTTAGGATTTAACAGGAAATGCGGGGAGACCCAAGCATTCAGTCCCTAGCACCTTCCCTGACTCTTCCCCACACCCTGCGTCTCCCACGGCTGCCAACTTCCTCCTCTAATCTTATGTATTTCAGTAATGGAATTCACATCTTGGTGTCCCAGGGGCCATGGAGAAGTCGATACACTGGTGCACATTTGTCCCCGGGCTTGTTGTATTATTTGACAATTAAACAAAGAAGATGCTTTTGTTTTCTGATGGAGACAGTGACTTTTTGACTTCCTTCTGCTTTTTCAGAAGAAATTTTGCTCACTTCCTGATTGGTATCGAGAGCCCGGAAACTGCACATTTGACTCCTTCTTTCTCCAGGATTTTTGTAGTATTCAGAACAGACCTTATTCTCCTCCCTGCTCCTGACACACGGAGGTTACGGGATGAAAAGAGAAGCCGAACCCTAGGAAACAATGGCTCCTTTGTTTTGTCAGACAGCCTTCCCACTTCTGGGCCCACCGTGAGATCTAGAAGTCTCCAGTGAGCGCTCTCGAGGTCTGGACTTCACAGGAGTGTGGCCTTTGCCCTGTGACATCCATGCCCACGGCTCAGGTGGGTGCGGCCTCCTTCTGGGCAGGGAGATGTCACCACTCAGGCCTGAACCAAAATGGCTGTCAGGTAACCGGACCCTGCAGAAGGTTCCAGAACATAAGCTTGCCCTTCGACTGACCCAAAAGTCTACCAAAGAGCTCCCCTGATACTCAGGCTGTGGAAATGATGTTGACTCACACTCGCATGGCGTCTTTCCAGAATTATCATTCTCCCTGGCGACACACCCTATTTCTAGCTACAGATAGCTTCTGTTTCAGTATCCATGCTCCTATTCACTCTCCAAAGGATCTTCCCAAAATTCAACCCCCTCATTGCTAAAGGGAGGGAACCCATGCCCACCCTGGTCTGGGGCTCTGCCCACATTTCCTGTCTAGTGCCTACAGCCCCTCCTCAGCGTTCCGAATGCTAAGCCAGTTCAAGTCGTTGTCTCCCTGCCTTCCTGCGTGCTGTTCTACGTGACCAAGTTCTCCTCTCCTGTCCCCTCTCTGTTCCTTCTTGCCTACTGGACAAGCTCCAGCCAGCAGGGGCATTCAGAGAACAGGCTCTGGAGTCAGACAGGCTGGGGGGATGCATTTGTTTTAATTCCACAAATATTTGTTCAATGTCTTGTCTTCTCTGTGCCCCTAGGGGTGTGATTCCACCACCCTTAGCTGTGTGGCCTCAGAAAAGTTAGCTGACATCTCTGAACCTAAGTTTCCATGTCTGTGAGAAGGATGCCTACAAAGCACTTAGCATGATCCCTGATGCATATAAGCAAACCTCCAACGAATATGAGATGTGACCACTGCTATATTTTTTCATTTGCTAAATTTCAACTTAGGTTTAATGAATTCTTCTTGGACAGCACCAACCTGACACTCTTCTGAACACCCTGACCCCTGGTACACCATGCCTGCCTCTGTGGCAGCCCTTCATTCAAAGGATTCATTGCCTGATCCTCCCATGGCTCCTGGATGAGGACTGCATGTCCCCCCGTGGAGATCAGGTTGTGTCCTGCTCTGAATGACTCTTTGACGCATAGAACATCTGTTTTCAGGCTGTGCCTGAACCTGAGTCATACTATTTTCTTGAGCAGTAATTTGCCGTGAGCGACTCCATTTGGAGTTCAAGTGCCAAGGTCGAGTGATTCCACACCTTGTTTGTGCAAGTCAACAACCACCACCTGCCCTGCACCACTCTAAGGCACAAATTGATAGATAGTGTATACATGCCAACTGGCCACACTGAACCCAGGCGTACCCAGACATGTGGGCATCCCAAATCACAGCAGTCACATCGGACATGGGAATCCATCAACCCCACCAGATGAGAACCCTTCCCTCAAGACATAAAAGGAGGAGTCCTCCACCCCGAGACTGGGCACGGTAGCTCCTTGACCCTGTCACCTGGTCACTCATCATAAGCCTTGTCCATAAAGATTGCCACCATGAGAGACCTCCAATTTCCTGTCCCTACTGGGCTTCAGCTAAGTGTGGTTTCTCCTGCTTGCAAAGACCACACAGAGCCGGCTCCAAGCCGACACCTTAGGGACACTTGACACTCAACTGAAAGTGCCGTCCATCTGGACCCTCTGCTTGGACAATTCTGAGGAATTGGTTAAAATCCTTATCTGACCACCTACAGTGGGCTTTTGGCTCCTTCGCATCCTGTAAGCCAGCGGCCACTTTGACCCTTTCTTAGTCTTTCTGTGACCTATTTATCTATCATCATCATGTAAAGTGCATGTGACTTGAGTGTTTAGATATTAGAAATTAAGATGGGAATAAAAACAAACAAAACAAACAACTTGTGTTTGCCTGGCTTGTGACAACCAGGTGACCCACAAGTATTCGTCTGTCAGAGATGAAAGTGGTGTCGCCTGTGAATTTATTATTCAATGGATTCTGACACTGTGGAGAGACACAAGGCGTTTCATCTATGTTAATGACACAGCACACTCCTGACACCTCCATTCCTCTATCCCCAGAGCCGAGAGTAGGGCTTGTACCTGAGGTTTAATGGCTCCGTGGAGTAGCTCCCCTCCCTCCCACGGCGGGAAATCACACCCCAGATCTTCAGACGATAGGTCCTAGTTCTTTCCCTGATGTCCCCAGTCCTCATGCCTCTGGTGACAGTGATTTGGCAGTAGTGGCTATAGTCCGAAAGGTAAGTATGGAGACAGACCAGCCCCGGCAACTTTTTATATGATGATGAAACATTCAGAAGACACATTCTGACGGCTCCGGGCATCTCCAGTCTTGCTATTATTCTACGTCTTACGCGGACAGGATACCAACGGTCCAGGGTGCCATCGCCATTGGAAACAAGAGGGACTGGATCAGCACCTGCACCATGAATTGTGTCTGCTCTGAATCATGTGCTGGGTCCTGACTCCCCGTCCTCAGAACGTGACTGGGGGGTCTTTAAAGAGGTGGTTACGTTTAAACGAAGCCTAGTCCAATCTGACTGGTGTCCCTCTAAGAGGAGGAGATCAGGACACAGCGACGGCGTGGAGGAGGGAAGCCCACATGTGGACAGACACGGGGAGCGGACAGCTGTCTGCAAGGCGGGGGAGAGGCCTCAGGAGAAACCAACGCTGCCCACACCTTCCCCTCACACCTGCAGCCCCCCAACTCTGAGGGAACGGTGTCCTGATGTTAAAGTCACTAAGTGGGTGACACTTTGCAGCCTTGGGGACTGAGACACCGCCCAGTGGGGCGGTTCAGACATGTTACTCATTGGACCGTGACCTTCCTGTGGGCGGGCTGGGTTGGCCATTGGGGGACGCCCAGTCTCCCTCTCCTGTCTGTGCTGCCGTATCAGAACAGCACACCCTGGGCCATTTGTAAGACGGAGATTCTTGGCTTATTGTCCTGGAGTCTGGGAAGCCCAAGGTCCAGGGTCCAGGGGACTTCTTGCTGTGTCATAACGCAGCAGAGGGACAAAGGGGTGGGGGAGACCAGATCTATTCTTGTGTCCCTCCCCTCCTCCTGGATTCCTGGATAATGACGCCGATCTGTGATTCAGTGGGTCAGACCCTGATAGCGTCATCTCTCATTTTGTCCTGTCTCCCAACACAGCTGCCCCCGGGGAAGAAGTTTCCAACACATGACGTCTGCAAGGCCCCTTCAAACCATGGCGCTCCCTTTCGTGATCCTTAGCTCTAGAGAAAACCCTGCATCCACAGCTTCTCTCACAGGGCTTGCTGATTAAGGTGGATGATCCATGGTGCCGCCCAGGGGGCAGCTCTGGAAGTTCTAGAAGGCGGGTGGGGATCTTGGGGTAACTTGCAAACTAAACATACTGGAAGGTGAGCCCAGGTGCACAACCTGGGGCGGGGGGGAGCCTCTGGGAGGCATCTTTTCCTAATTTTCGGTGGGTGAGGTTCCATGGTTCGGAAGACCCACTGGTCATTTTGTTCTTTGGGGGCTCCTGGGTTTTGCTGGTGAACTGCTGCAACTCGATGCTTGGTTTCTCCTCCTCGCTCTGGGTCACTCTCACCTGCTCTCTTCCCCCCACCCCTCCTTGTCCCATGGGCTCCCAATCGCCCCTGCAGACTCACTGCAGCTGGAGCAAGTGGCTGGTCCCCTCTCCCTTCACCCCACAGCCACTGAGCCCGTAAACAGCCCACAGCGGGAGGCCTGCTCGCCCCGTAAACACAGGTGGCCATTTGAAAGGACTCACCGCAGCTCTGGTAGAACACCTCCAAGCCCTCGTTCCTGCAGGCCACGTGCGTGGGCCACATGTCCCCTCTGCCTCCGTGGCCTCCGCCGCTGGGAGAAATCAGAGTCCAGACCAGGAGGGCAGCCGCGAGACCGTTCATGGCGAGGGCCTGTGTGTGCGACCAACAGAAAACCCACAGGCCCAGTAAAAGGGCCCCAGAGGCGCTTCCTCTCCTCTGACGAAGGGAGAGGCCTGCAGAGTTTCACTTCTCGAATCTCAGGCTCCTGAGAGCGCACTGTGCGAGCAGGAGGTGAAGTCCATCCCCGGGGGCCACGGGCACTTGGGTGGTCAGGATGGGGCTGGTCGGGGTCTGGCATCCAGGGGATGTTGACTTTCTGCTTTCTCAGGAGCACACCAGCCAGGGATGCCTGACGTTGTGCCTGGGGTCCTTCAAAACGGCCCTCCTTAGCGTCCCCAGCCCCAGGTGGAGTTGTAAACCCAGGAACGAGAAACCACAGGCCTCCACGTGTCTCCCATCAGGAGCTCCCGGCCTCTGCAGGATCCCGATGTGGGCCGTGGGCCCGGGATCTGGCTGGGACCAGCAGGGAGCACTGGGCATTTTGAGGGCTGCAGACTGATATCTGGAATTTGGAATGAGGCGTTGCCTTATTGGCATTTTGCTTTCTCCGGTTTGGGCTCCATTGTTGGGGTTAGGATCTCAGCCCTCCTTTGTCCAGTTGAAGAAAATAGGACCTGGCTTTGGGAGCAGCAGACGCGGGCTCGGGGGGCATTGGGGGGAAAGTCAGGGCTGTGCTGTTTGTGGGTTTGCCCTGGTGGGGGGAACCTGCAGGGTGGGGATGCAGGGTGTTCCTTCTAAGTCTGGCTTCATGGGCTGGTCCTTGTTGGGATCATTAGTGTGATCGGCATCCTGCTCTCTTTTCAAACCCAAGGTCATCTTATCCTTCCTCCATGGACCTCCGTTACCCTGCCCGGATAGCCAAGTTCTTCAACCCTGATGCCTCCACGCCCAGCTCCACCTTCGTTTAAGAGAACCGGAGACAGGGGCAAGGCCCGCAGAAGTCGGCAGCAACAGAGGACACCCTTTCCCCAGGGAGGGCAGGCATTTCTTCTAGTGCACTAGGAAAGTCGACTCTTTCTTCCAGTGGCGAAAGAAGAACTAAAGCCACCTTAAAACTGCTTTTGGCCAGGCACGGTGGCGCACACCTGTCATCCCAGTGGCGTGGGAGGCTGAGGCAGGAGGATCGTGAGTTCAAAGCCAGCCTCAGCAAAAAGGAGACACTCAGCAACTCAGTGAGGCCCTGTCTCTAAACAAATAAGGGCTGGAGATGTGGCTCAGGGGTTGAGTGCCCCTGAGTTCAATCCCCGGCACCAAAACAAAACAAAACAAACAACAACAACAACAACAATAACAACAACATCCTCCCCAAAACAATGCTTTTGGTAGTAGGTGGAGATTTAATCACCAACGAAGAAAAACAAACATATTGAATTTATTGGTGAGTAGTCGGATCTTTAGGGAGATTAATTAAAGAGTAGTTATTTGGGGAAGGGACGAGCCTGGACTGATATTTTAAAGGTACCTGGGTGCCAATAAGTTCAGGGATGGTGGTCTTCACCAGTGGTCCTCACAGTGGTCTGGGGGGACAACAGCATTGGCTTCCCTGGGGCTTGTTAGAAGGGCACCTCTGGACTCCACGTAAGACGCTGAGTGGGGAACTGTGGGAGGGCCCAGCGTGTGCTCCAGGAAGGTCTGACGCGGGTTCAAGTTTAGGTAAAACCTGGCTTTGACAGAACCCAAGGAGAGAGCTGAGTCCCAAGGAGAGGTAGTCCGTTGCTCTAGAAGGAAACAAGCTGGCCCCATGCTGTGGTTCAGCGCTTCCCCAGATCTTCACGATTAGCCCTCGGGAGCCTGGTCTTCAGTGCGGTGACGTTGGGGGGTGGTGTGGGACCACTAAGAGGTGGGGCTTAGTGGAAAGTAATGAGGTCAAGGAGGTCACTGCCCTCCCAAGGAATCAATTAGTTTTCACGGGACCCTGGTTCACTCTCCAGAGAGGCTTCTCATAAAAGAAGAAGCAGAACCTTCCCTGGTCTTTCCCTCTAGCTTTTATGTCACCATGTGATTGTTCCCTTTTGCATGTGCTCCTGCCAAGATGCCATTCACCATGCTATTATGTAGCCTAGGGGGCCCTTACTAGAGCCAGTACTGTGCTTTTTGGATTTGTGGCCTCCAAAACTATAAGTTAAATCAACCTTTTTTACTTATAACTTACCAAGCCTCAGTTATTTTGTTACAGTTATGAAAAATGGACTAATACACTCCACATAGTCCCAGTGATGGGAGGTCAGCAGTGCTTTGAGCAAGATCTCAGGAAGTAAGCATCTAGCCATGGGCCTTTGTGGAAGTGTTGTATCCACAGTTGATCCAGAATAGGAACAAATAAGCTTTCCCTTGGGATAACTGCATGTTCTAGGAATTGTTGAGTTAGCTCTGAGCATGTGAATTAGGAGAGCAATTAAGGATAAGATCTTCCTTTCTTGTAGATTATGGCATGACCAATCCCAGTGGAAGGACCCTGGAATGTAGGGTAGGGAGTAACATCCTGATTGAAAGTGGTGGGCAGCAGGGGCAGGGATGCTGCCTTAGTCTATTCTGGCTACCGCAATGAAGTACCATAGACTAGATGGCTTAAACAAGAACAATCACTTCTCACAGTTCTGAGACACCAGCCGCGGTGTCTGGCGAGGACCCACTTCCTGGTTCAGATAGCGCCTTCTCCTCTCGGGGTAGAGCAGTCAGGGATCTCTAGGGTCTCTTTTATAAGGGTATCAATCCCAGTCTCTACCCTCAGGACCCAATCACCTCCCCAAAGGCCCATCTCCTCCCACAATCCCATCACCTGGGGTAGAACTCTAGCAAACACTGTAGAAAGCATGTAATCTGAGGACAGGGCCTTAGATTTTTATTAACCAGCAGACTCCACACGGAAGAGAATCTAATCCAAGGGAGTGGAATTCAGAAGTATTCAATATGGCCATTCAGAGACCCAGTGGAACAGTGTTCTCAGACACAAACAAGCATCAGTGTCAGCCGCAGGGCCTATTAACACACCGACTGCTTTCCCTGCCCCAGAGCTTCAGGCTCAGCAGGTGTGAGGAAGGGCCTAAGCACATGTGTTCCTAAAAACGCTCCCTGGGGCTGATCTGGTGTTGCTGGTCTGGGGCTGCACCCGGAGAACACTTGGCTTTGGGTTATAGGACTTGATCTGTTATAGAATGTTCTATCTATCTATCCATCCATGTATATATACTTTATTTTATTTTTATATACATTATTTTTAGTTGATGTGATGATTATACATAGCTTTGGGGGTACCGTGTGCCATGTCAGTACATGTGTACACTGTGTAATGATGAGATCAGGGTAATTTGCACGTCCATCACCTCGCGGACATTTATCACTTTGTGCTGGGGATGTTCAAAATCCTCCCTACCAGCTATCTTGCAGAAAAATACGACTGATTGATGTCAGCCATCCGTTACCCTCCTGTGCTGTAGAGCCTGGGAGTTGTTCCTCCCATCCACCGGGCCCTGGACATGTGAGCCATCCTCTCTCTGTCCCCCCACCCCTCCCATGTTCTGGTAACTATTCATCTACTCTCTATTTCTGTAAGATCAGCTTTTTAGCTTCTGCATATGAGTAAGAACATGTGATATTTATTATTCTGCGCCTGGCTTATTTCACTTAACACAGTGTCCTCCAGGTCCACCCAGGCTGCTGCAAATGGTGGAATCCCATTCTTTTTTATGGCGGAGTAAGATTCCATTGAAAATGTATAATTTTGAATATGTCATAATGCACCAATTTAAAAAAGACATATTACATTAACTCAAAGCTAAATGAAGAAATAAAGATCTCCAGTAAAGTATTATGAAAAAAAAAGAAAATGTATAATTTAAAAAATCTTCTTAATAAAAGATTATTTTATTATATTATAGCTGTAAGTTTAAATAGCATGTAGCACATTCACAGGAAAAAAAAGAGTAAGCCATTTTTTATAAGGAATTCGACTTATTTGTTCTGTTTCCCGAGAACCAGGGTTTGACTCAAATCCCTAGGTACGGCCCATCTTCAGGAATCAATTCCTAATGATACCTCGAGTTCTTCAACCAGAAGCTTTACAAACACAACAAAAAATTCCTTGAGAATGTCTTGTTCCCTAACTATGAGTAAAATTAGAATCCATTTATGATAGTTACGTAAAATATGGTCATGTCTATGTAAACGGAAACCAAATATATCCTCAGGCTCTGACACGGACTTCTGATGCCTTAGCAAGTTGTGGCTAAAGAAGCTGTGTCCCTGGTCTCACCCAGATTCATCTTCTACGTGGACCATCCCCTTCCTGCATCTCAGGCTTTCTCCACAGAAGTCAGGTTGGTGATGGTCTCTCTTTTCTTGCAGAGTAAGAACGTTAACAGAAAGGGTCCTTCAGAAGGGACTCTTGTGTTGAAGAGACTTGGAGAGGGAAAGGTGTGACTCAGGGCAGGAGTCCCACCATGAAGGTGCCGAAGGATGAGCCTTCTCCGCATGAAAAAGTGTTACAGAGGGAGGGAGAGAAAAGGAAGGAGTGGAGGGAAGAAGGGGGAAGGGAGTTGTCAAAGGTTGCTGCAGGGTGGGGTGAAGCCCCTGTCTGCAGGTAGGACGAAGCAAAGGTGTTTGGAGAACAGATTCTAAATTGTTTGCTGTGTGATACGCAGCGTGACAGCTGTCTGAGAATTACGCCCCTGGGGATTCTGTGTGTGTGTGCATGTGTGTGTAAAGGGAAGGTGTTCACGTTTGCATTGGTGTGATGTGCGACACAGGGTTCTGGGAATACAGGCCCCTTGGGAAAGTGGTTCAACCTCAGTGGGCGTCAGACTTCCCCAGGACGTGGAAGGAGGTTCGGGCCAGCAGAGGGCAGGTAGCCAGCATTGACGATAGAGCTCTTTGCCTCCACGGGCAGTTGCGCCTTCACCGTTATCTGTGTTCAGCTGTGGCCTCCTCCGCTCATCCCCCTCGGGTGTGTAAGCTGTCGGGCGCTGCACAATAGTGTTTCCGTCCACGCGCACTGCTCACGGGATGGAGGGCAGCAGCAGCCTCACGCATCTCGACACGTCTCCGGATGGCATCATTTTGTCTTGTGCTTGGTTTCTCCCCAGGCCCT